AAACACGTGGCGGAAGCGGAGTGCACGGTTCCTTGTCGAGCTGGCAGTCGCGCCATCTGCACAAAATACGCAGGGGAGCGGTCGGGATGAGTGACGCTCGCGGCTTGTCCCAATAGCCGGGATTTCCAATCACGAGTTTGCGACCGTTAACGGCCTGCTCGTCTAGGCACGTTTCTTTGTTAGATAGAGGGGTTCGGGACCGCATGTGCTTGCCGATAGAGTAGAATCACCGTCGTGGTGGGAGAACAGCCACAACCAGGAGCCCCAAACTCCGTTCGTGCTTCAACGTCACCTATGGGTAATTTTGCTGTGCCCTAGAACGAAATTGATATAGTTCGATGGCCACACTCTTATAGCGACCCGGGTGCCGGGTGACTTTAGGAGTCATAATTGCTGCCATAATTTTAATTTGCCGCTACACATCCGCAATAACTTGTGTATTTGCATCTAGATACATTAAATTTGTGATATTCAAATATTTGCATTGATTCAGGACGTTTAATTTGATTTCATTCAAAGTTAGGCAAGTTTTTTTTGTAGTTGAGAACTAACAGCTCTTCAGCCTGCACAACTTAGTCATAGCTTTTTTTTTTCTTTTTGTCAGCGTAGGAATAAATGATTTTGAATCCTCCATATATTTTGTGTTTTATTTAGAGGTACTTTTTCAACCTTAGGGGTCCACATTTTGCATCTGAACGCATTCTGCCACAAAAAAAAAAAACAAACAACGTAGGGTTTGAAATTTTCGCGGGTTTTTCAAATTTTTTTCACATGTCAATTTAAGGCGGGGTGGTTGGGTTATCACATAATATTTATTTCTAGAAATTGTGGTGTCCTGAATTTGAAATTCAAATTTCGCAGTGAGGGAAAAAACAACGCCGCAAAAACTATTCAAAAATCTACTTGACTGTTGTTAAACTGTACTAGAACTATGAACAGTTAAAAATGTTAACATGAACAGAACTGTGAATTTACAAACAATAATACAAAATAACATTTGTTGACGAATAGTCAAAATTTGACACGTTTTGTATTAGAAAATCATTAATAAACTAATATTGTACGAAGTACATTTGTTGAGGCAGACCAGACTGGGGCGTCAAATGTGATTCATTTTTGTTTAAACAATTGCCCTTTGGAGAAATTACAAACAAAATTGGATGTACTCTTAAATTTAGCAAAAAAAAGAAGAAGATGAAACCTTTTTTGAATTTCATCTGCGCCACCCAAAGACAAGAATTTTAATCAAGACATGCATGGTTGCCTACGTTATATATGAGTTTTTCTTATCTTACAATTTTTGAATAGTTTTTGCGGTGTTGTTTTTTCCCTCACTGCGGAATTTGAATTTCAAATTCAGGACACCACAATTTCTAGAAATAAATATTATGTGATAATGGCCTTAGCTGTGATCGTCTGACAAAATGGAACCTGTGTTGTGCTGCGACTAAGTTGTGCCGGTTGAAGATACCTCTTAATGCTCACCTACAAAAAAAAAACTTGCGTAACTTTGAATGAAATCAAATTTATAAATGTTCTAAATCAATACAAATATTTGAATATCACAAATTTAATAAAAACAAAGACAAATCTGAATTAAAGTAGCTAACTGGATGCAAATACACAAAATTTAAAATTATGGTAGTCAACAAGACAACAAAATTTTAATAAAAACTATGCAGCGGTAGCGGCACCCGAGCGCTATAAGAGTATGGCGATCGAACTATCTCAATTTCCTTCTAGAGTACAACAGAAATACCCATAGGGGGCGTTGTAGCACGAGCGGTGTTTGGGGCTCCGGGTTGTGGCTGTTCTTCCACCGCGACAGTGATTCTATTCTATCGACAAGCACTGCCGCCCATCACTCCTCTATCACGAAGAAACGTGCCGCGCTACCCAGGCCGTTACGGTCGCAAACTCGTGGTTAGAAATCACAGCTATAAATAAGCTGACAGCGTTACGTCATCCCGACCGTCCCTGACTTCTATTCAAGACCTGAATCTTTTCTGCAGATGGCGCGGCCGCCAGCTCGACAAGGAACCGCGCACTCCGCTTCCGCTACGTGTTTCTGTGTTATTTAACGCAAGTCCATTTAAATGTTCAATTTCTATAACTCTGATATTAAATTACAAGTGAACAAGTGTTAGACTTCCGAAAAGATCAATAAACAATATTTAAATTTACCATACACCCTTGTGAAATTTGAAACAGTAAAGAATTCTTATCTGAGATTAAGACTGGATAACAGACAATTTAATAATGGAAGCATTAATCAACAAAGTATTTACAAAACCAAAAACTAGCAAAGATTTATAAAACAAAAAAAAAAAAACAATCTGGTGTGAAGTAAAAGTTGTGCAAATAAAAAAAAAATACGTGAGGTTAGAAACTGCAGAGCATGAAAATTTACGTTCAATTTAAATTGTACAGCAATTAAATTATTACTAAGATTCGAGTTATTTTTTATTTTTCAAAAGTGAAGTTATTCAGCTGGATTGTGGGCCATTGTTATACATTCCCCCAAACAACACATAAAAAACATGGCGGGCAATCTGGAGGTTCAAAATTGCGTTGGACGAATGCGTCGTTAAAAAAAAATGCGTCAAAAATATGTCTTCCAGAAATGTTATCAATCTTGTGGCACTATGCAAATAATGGTCTAAATCAAAGGAATAAAATGCACGTCCCACATGACTCACAATGTTGTTAATTTGTTCAATGAGATTTTACACTTTAAATATGTGCTAGGTGTGAAAATACTCTTCCAATATGGCCGCTGCCAGAACAAAGAATTTACCTGATGTTAAATTATGCCACACTTTATCAACGATTGATACAAAGAATTTACGTTATGTTAAATTGTGCTACACTTTATCAGCGATTCAAACAAAGAATTTACATTATGTTAAATGATGCCTTGATCCAAGTGACGGGTTACTTAAAACAATTAGCTTTGAGTGTTTATATCGTGAACTGTCCCCAGCTTATCCCAAACAAAACATGTGATAAATAAACACAAAATAATAACAATTTCCAACGTTGCGAGAAAAAAATGTCTCGGTGGTGTGATGATTATAACAATGATAATAACTGCCTGAGGGGAGACATTTTTTTAATCCCCCATACCTGTATGATATTATGAATTCTATCGCACTTTGCACGTCCTTTTCTCAAAGCGGGACGCCGTGAGGTTAATTTAACTGTCGTAAATGAACTATTAGCAATCCTGTCTGTGGAGTTAAGAAGTGCTATAATGTAACACTTAAGTATCTCCTAGCAAGTACTTATCTAAACAAATTTCTGACTGTTAAATTGTATTAGAACGATTAACATCCTAGCATGATCTGTGAATTTACAAACAATAAAACAAATTTACACCACGTGTTAGCGTTAGTCGGAAATTCACATATGTATGTCTACTTGGAAAAACCGCAAGAATTAGCTATTAGCGTGTTGGCGAAACTGTGGCCTCCTCGTCGTTACGATCAATTTTCGTTAAACAAAGGTTTTCTCTTTTTCTAACTACCAAATCAACTAAACTCAATCTAGCTAACTCACCACGTGGTTTCATTTACAACAAACAAACATATTTTTCACTAGCAGTGAGTAATTTTATTAAACATTATAATTATTATTATTTTACTTACATTTATTTTTTTTACTTTCCATGTACATTTTATTATGTAGTTAGTTATTAGTATTGTACCCAGTATTAAATTATGTATATGTGTATTTTTTATCATTGTCCGGTAAGTGGGTGAAGAACCTGTTGGGTAATAGTCATTATTATTATTATTAAATTTTTTTTCAGATTCAAATTATTCAAATGCAATTTCGCGCCGCTGTTTTTCTTTCAGAGTGAAATTTTAATTTAAATCTGGTCATCACAAGACCCACCAAAAAAAAGAATTTTAAATTTTAAAGCATGCATGGTTGCCTACCTTGTGGAATGAATTTTTTTTCTTATCTTTCAATTTTCAAATAGTATGGTTCCAGTTTCAAATTCGGGACACCACAATTTCTAGAAATAAATATTACTCCTTTAAACTTATTTTTTATAACAGCAGAATTATAATCATAATTATTGTCATTTAGATGATAATCTGTATACAGAAATAAAGGCATTAAAAAGAAAACCATAGTTGACTTTTTTACCATCAGAGTTTTCAATGAAATATTTCAAAATAAATATCAGTTTTGAAATTTTAAATAACCGCACTTTTTCAATTTCTCTGTAAATCTTCCACATTCTCATGATTAAAGATTTATTGCAAGTTGTAAACATTTTATTTAAACCAAAAATAAACTTCTTATAAAAATACATAATAAAATAAACATAAATAAAATTCTTCTCTCATTTACTCATTTCTTTGTTATTAGTGATCTTCCTCATCAAGTTCATCAACTATCAAAACAGTTTCTTCTACATACATCCTGTTCGTCATTATCTTGTTCGAGTTCACTCTTATATTCTATAAATTCATTAGATTCGAATTCCACATCATTGTGAGAAAATAAAATTTTAAAAGTGAGATCATATTTGTAAATTTTATTGAAATTTATAAGACTCTGAAATCTTTCAAATAAATTTCATTTCATTGAAATATTTCACGTTAACAGCTCTAGTTGCAGCCATTGTTATTGCTTGACCCATAGATGACTAAAGAAATTTGAAACCTCATGACCATATTGTATACGTTAGTTACAGGTTTATACTGTGGCCCTGCATTCAGAATTTTAATTGTAATATTTAAATATTTTCATTGATTCGGAACATTTGATTTGATTTGATTTGATTTTGAAGGCTAGGCAGTTTTTTGTAGTTTTTGTGTGGTGCAGAGAAAAACGAGAACAGTTGCTTAATTGTTTTATAATAATTTTTATCATTGTGTATTATTGTGGCTACTCCTAACTATAAACCAACGTGACGCCACTGCTCCGATCATTAATAATACCGCTCTAGTAACTTTTAGTCCCCCCCATGTCATCAGTGTCAGAAATTGGCATCCCTTCTCAACTGATTTTACCGAGCGGTCCGTCATCGAACGGTTTTTATTGACAATTAGTAATGGTCGTGTAATTTCAATCACCAACATAAAATGCGGATATAAATTCAAATTCGTGCAATTTATTCAAATCTCGAACATCTTCTTAACCGTTGTATGTGTTTGACAGTCATAAAAATCAAGAAGGAATGGATGCTAAACGAAAACTATCGTAAGTCTACTTGCACTCACACCTGTCAGCACCACAATGTTGCCCATTTCTCAATCACAGCAACAAACTAATAAACTAAAACCATGAAAATGAAAAAGTCGCTTCTGATTGAGTCTCTTTCATGTACAGGACACAGGGAGATTCGCTATACGAAATCTTAGCATTGCCAAAAACCGCTACTGCAGAGGAAATCAAGAAAACCTACAGGCGGTTAGCACTAAAGTATCACCCAGACAAGAATCCCAACAATCCAGAAGCTTCGGAGAAGTTTAAGGAAGTAAATAGGGCACATTCGATTCTTAGTGATGCCACGAAACGAAATATATATGACAATTATGGATCTCTGGGGCTGTATATTGCTGAGCAATTTGGAGAGGAGAACGTCAATGCCTATTTCGCTATTACGTCACCGTGGTGCAAGGTAAGAGTTCGTTGCATTTGGACGTGTTGTCAGGCGTATCTTTATGGAGGATTTGTCTATCTTGTAAAATTTTATGGAAATGGGTCATTATGATAGATTGTTTACGATGAAGATAAGACCGCGGTTTTACAAAAAAAATATTAATCTGTGATTTATTTTTGGTCATAATGTGGGAAATAGATGGTTAGTTTTACTCATCTGATAAATTTATTCCACTTCTGAGAAATCTATTATCAGTTCTGTTTGTGATTTCTGTATCAAAATAATATTTTTGTAACGTCATTGATTAACTACTGACCAGGAGTTACAAGTATTTTTATTGTTGTTTAAATAGCTTTGTGAATCATCTTAAAAGTACATACTTGCTTTCTTAAAATAAATATTACAAATGGGCACCATAAAAATTCGTTCTTTATCTAGGTTTAAAAATTTTAATAACTGTGTTTAGGTCGGTTTATCTTGAAATAAAATGTCTATCTTATAACTTCATAAAAAACCGCAAATAAAAAATTTATTATGTAAATAAGAAATAATTCTGAGTGTTAAGTTGTTCTATGAAGAATGCAAATATCAGAAAATGTTAAAGCAAATCCGGTATTTGTGTAATATTTATATGGATTTTTGTTATAAACGCTTGAAGTTGTTTTGATCATTGTGAACTGATTACTTTGATTTAATTAGTAACAATTTAATATGATCTGATACGGAATAGGTTTTATTAAATAATAATTCCTATGATATCTGTGTGGGATAAAATTAATATTTTAGGTGAATTCCTTAAAAGAAATAATTTCGTTTTTCGTGTTGTTTATGAGATGTACTTGTGAATAAAGCTGGATAAAAAAAATGGTCCTATTTTAGGGGCACCGGTTTGGTGAACATAATTAACAATGTTTGCGAATATTTCCCCCCTATTACATTTAAATTTGTGTAACGAGCTCTATTAATGTTTACAATATTACGCCATGATTATTTATGAACAGATTGTAGCCAGAAAAGGGATACTGCTTAGGACTGAATTAATTTGGCTGTACTGAATATTTATCCAAGTCTTTTTGCAGACGTAATCGTAAACCAGTTTAATATATTCTCCTACGCCACTAAAAATCACTATTGAACTAGCATTCACAAACCTGTTTACAAATATGTACATACTTTTATGCAGAAAGTTTAGCGAATTTTAAAATACTCCTACAACTGTAGGATTGACGCAAACGATTTTTTGTTTAATGGTGAGTTCATGCACGAAAATTTAAGATTTAATTTAACGTAACGTAATTTAGGAAAAAATTAAATTCTTACAATCATACTGTAACAATCAAGTTGTCCATGTCTCATCTCTTAGTTTTAAGTTAAATGGAAATGTGTTGTGCGCATGTCCGTCATATCTGATCCGGTAACTGTCAAATAATATCTTTGTTAATGTTCTCAGTGGATGTTGTGAATAAATAAATACTCTTTGAGTACAACTTGTCTTTGGTTCCTGGTTTGACAAGTGATATTTTAAGAAATGCAAATTGTGCAAGCGTCACTGGTCATTTAATCATTTAAGAGGTGCACTGCTTTTAAGTTAAGTTACATTAAATTAAGTAAGTTTTAAGTTTGCGTGACGAACCCACCATAAGTAAATGAAAAAATAAACCAACATGTATTTACAATTTGATGATGAGAATCAAACTTCATACAAACTAAAAACATTTTTAGTTCTGTTTTTTATTTAATAGAATGAACCTGAAGGACAACGAAACATCCAGCATGCGTATGTTTCAAATGAGTTTTTATTGTACAAAATTATGCGATGACTTATGTTGATGAGTTCAATCCATTTTGGCCTATAACGAACATAAATACAACATCTCTCAAGTGATTATTGAATCATTTGTGAAATCAAAAAACAGATTATGTGAAAAAAAAATCAGTTTACAATAATAAACGCATCAGTAGAAAGGTTTTAAAATTATAATCAATATTTAACATTTTTATATCTGAGATCAATATAGGAGAAATATCCGATTTAACATTGTTAACCAGATTTATGACATCCGTTTCGTTGTTTTATCGTCCGTTAGTAATAGACTTATTTAATTTTTTTATCGTTTCCATTTTTTTTGTATCCTTTTACAACTACTTTTTGTTGGCGTGATTAATTAAGTATAATGTTGTTTTAAATCTTGCACAACTTTAATATTTTCTTTTGATTTATACATTTTTTCAAAAATGTTTGGCAATAATTATCAAAACCAGATCCCAGAAATCAGTAAAAACATAACACATAAAAAGATAATGAAAGAATTAATTATTGTAAAGCTTCCAAAAATACTAATATTATATACCTACCAATTTCATTTCAATGTTCGCTATCGTTTGCTAAAACTAGAAAAAAATTTAAGACAATGTATTGTTTATTTGTTGTCTAAATTGAAAAACTCCGGTAAAAATAACTAATTCCTTTTTAAGACTGATGCCACTTTCATAATTTGTTTACAAAGTAGCAGAGAAACAAATTAGTTGCACAAATAAACTGTCAGAATAAACCTTAACAGATGGGATATCAAAGGAAGGCTAATTGAAAGATAATTTCTATCGCAATAAAATACAGGATGTTTCATTAACTAAAGACAACAGAACGTAAATTGGAAATTATTTAAACCGTATAAATTTGTGACAAACCAAAGCTTTTGATAAATTATCAGACACAGTATAAATATATAGGGTGATGAAAAAATGACGGGTTTGTGGAGCTATTCATTCTTTGACCGTTATTGATTGGGTTATTTGAAAATATGAACAACTTAAAATTTTGAGAATTGGGTTTAATTTTTAGTTTTCCCCTTGATTTTTAATCCAATTACATTACAAAACTGTGCAAAAGTTGCAGCATAAAATATGCAAAATATTATGAATCTTGTTTATCGCAGCAAACAACTGAAGTTTGCCTCGGACGTAGTTTGCAGATTTTTTTTTGACCGCGGCTCGCAAGTGACCCATGCCCCTGAATTGTACGCTACAGGTGCAACAAAAGCTATAATTATTAACTATAGTAGAATTCTTTTAATTTTGGCAACATGTTGTAAAACTGTACCATTTAGGATAGCTGCAATGTTTCTGTCTTCGTCGGACACACTGTATTAACGCAGGTAAAGAATGCCCGCAGTTCTTAGCATTTAATGTATGTTAGACGAAGACAGAAACAGAAACATATTGTTTTACAAAATCTTGCCAAAATTAAAAGAATTCTTTCTTAGTTAGCAAGGTTTCTTCTTTTATTTTTCAATTGTTTTTAATTTAGAATACGAAAAAATAGGTCTTCCTTTTCTGTCTATCCGTCTGTATCTCTGTCCGCCTGTCTTCACGGATTTATTCGACAGATAACCTCCGAAAGTACAGGGCCGATTGTGATGACGTCACTTCAAAATTGTACATAGTAAATTGGTTTTAAATTGTATAAAATAACATAGTAGTTTATGACTCCGTGTTGAGTTTTTTCCCGAATTGTCCAGATATTTGGGAAAAAAATCAAAATTATAAAACAACATTTTGCAATTTAATTTTGAATCTGCTTAACCGAATGCTTTGAAATGTTGCAGATGTTTTAAAGTTACGATAGGCGTGATAAATTTTTAATCAAAATATATTTACATTTCCCCTCCAAAAAATTGATGACGTCAGCTCAAAATTTTGCCGAATAAATCCTATCTAAAATGCAGAAAATATGATGAGTCTGTACTTGTGATTTATCATTCAATTCATTATTTTTGGATTTGCTTATACAGGGTGACTCAAAAAAATTAATAAATCAGTCAATTTATTTTACTGAATAAATCAAGAATTGCAAAACTGAATGCTTTGAAATCTTGCAGACGTTTTAAAATCATTGTAAGCATGGTAAATTGTTAATCAAAATAAATCTGTTTATTCCCCCCAAAAAATTGATGACCTTATCTCAAAATTTTGCCGAACAAATTCTATCCAAAATGTACCAAATATGAGTTTTTACTTGTGATTCATCATTGCATTCATATTTTTTATCGATCAAATTATCAAACGAGTCACCCCGTTTTCCCGAAAATGTGAAAAATACGAACGTCTTTATTTAATGCTTAATGCAGAGATTAAACTGAGCCCCGCCCACCCACCCGTTTTCTAATTTTTTTCCTTCTGAAATAAAAATAAATCTTATCACATACTTAATACAACAAAAAAGTTATGATTAGTGCTCTTTTTACAGCCTAATTTCTATCAGTTCCCACACCCAATCTACAGAAGAACATATAATAAACCCCGCCCACCCACCCGCCTCGATCTTCCGCAGAAATAAAATTAGCCGCTAAATTGAGAAGAGAGGGGTGGGCGGGGTTAGTACTTATTAAAATAACACTGATTTTGGCAAGTAATATTCTCTGTACGAAAAGAGAGGGCGGGTGGGCGGGGCTACTACTTGCAACGATAAAACTGAACAATATAGTAGCGACTAAAATGATTAGGGAGAGGATGGGCGGAGTTGTTGGTTGCTTATAAAAGACTCTGTAGGAAAAAGTTAAATTGGTAAATTGAGTGTTGGTTACTTAAAAATGGCGTCAATAAGGAACAAGAATTATAATAATGATACTCAGAACATTTTGTCGATTGTAGCGTACTACTTACTACTTAATCGTGATTGTCCATCAGACAACTTGGTACTTTCATATTTTCTCGATATTTGATAACCCTAGACAATGCCGTAGGTAGGGGGAGGCTGGACAAGTTATAATTAACCAAATGTGATGTAATGTCTATATTGTAATTTATTATTGCATTAATATTTTTTAGATTTACTTTTACAGGGTGACTCAAAAAAATTAATAAATCAGTCAACTTATTTTATTGAATAAATCAAGAATTCCAAACTGAATGCTTTGAAATCTTGTAGACGTTTTAAAGTCATTGTAAGCATGGTAAATTGTAATCAAACCGTAAAAAATTGATGACGTTATATCAAAATTTTGCCGAATAAATTCTACGTAAGGTGTTCAAAATATGATGAGATTTTACTGGTGACTCATCATTGAATTCATATTTTTTATTGATCAAATTATGAAACGAGTCATCCCGTTTTCCCGAAAATGTGTCAAAACGTCTTTATTTAATGCTTAATGCTTGTTGCTTACCAATAGAAGACTTTCTAGGAAGAAGTTATTCTTAGTCACGCCCACCCACCCGTTTTCTCATTTTTTTCCTTCTGAAATAAAAAATAAATCTTGTGAATAATAATACTACAACAAAAAAGTTATGATTAGTGCTCTTTTTACAGCCTAATTTCTATCAGTTTCCACTCCCACTTTACAGAAGAACATTAATAAACCCCGCCCACCCACCCGTCTCCATTTCGGTGATTAATTTTTTCTACTCTGAGTGAAAGGTGGATCTTACACAGAAATAAAATTAGTCGCTAAATTGAGAAGAGGGAGGGTGGGCGGGGCTAGTACTTGTTCAAATAAGACTAATTTTGGCAAGTAATGTTCTCTGTAATAAAATAGAGGGCGGGTGGGCGGGGCTACTGCTTGCTATGATAAGACTGAACAATATAGTAGTGACTAGAATGATTAGGGAGAGGGTGGGCGGAGCTGTTGGTTGCTTTTAAAAGACCCTGTAGGAAAAAGTTAAATTGGTAAAGTGAGTGTTGGTTACTTGAAAATGGCGTCAATAAGAAATAAGAATTATATAATGATATTCAGAACATTTTGTCGATTGTTGCTTATTACTTACTACTTAATCGTGATTGTCCATCAGACAACTTGGTACTTTCATATTTTCTCGATATTTCATAACCCCTAGACAAGGCCGTAGCTAGGGGGAGGCTAGACAAGTTATAATTAAGACAAATGTGATGTAATGTCTATATTGTAATTTATTATTGCATTAATATTTTTTAGATTTGCTTATACAGGGTGACTCAAAAAAATTAATAAATCAGTCAATTTATTTTATTGAATAAATCGAAAATTGCAAAACTGAATGCTTTAAAATCTTGCAGACGTTTTAAAGTCATTGTAAGCATATTAAATTGTTAATCAAACCCTAAAAAATTGATGACGTTATATCAAAATTTTGCCGAATAAATTCTACTAAGGTGTTCAAAATATGATGAGATTTTACTGGTGACTCATCATTGCATTCATGTTTTTTATTGATCAAATTATGAAACGAGTCACCCCGTTTTCCCGAAAATGTGTCAAAACGTCTTTATTTAATGCTTAATGCTTGTTGCTTACCAATAGAAGACTAGAAGACTTTCTAGGAAGAAGTTAATCTTAGTGACGCCCACCCACCCGTTTTCTCATTTTTTTTCCTTCTGAAATATAAAATAAATCTTATGACATAATACAACAAAAAAAGTTATGATTAGTGCTCTTTTTACAGCCTAATTTTTATCAGTTTCCACTCCCACTCTACAGAAGAACATAGAATAAACCCCGCCCACCCACCCGTCTCTATTTCGGTGATTAATTATATCTACTCTGAATGAAAGGTGGGTCTTACACAGAAATAAAATTAGTCGCTAAATTGTGAAGAGGGCGGGTGGGCGGGGCTAGTACTTGTTAAAATAAGACTGATTTTGGCAAGTAATATTTTCTGTAAGAAAATAGAGGGCGGGTGGGCGGGGCTACTACTTGCGATGATAAGACTGAACAATAGAGTAGTGACTAGAATGATTAGGGAGAGGATGGGCGGAGCTGTTGGTTGCATAAAAGACTCTGTAGGAAAAAGTTAAATTGGTAAATTGAGTGCTGGTTACTTAAAAATGGCGTCAATAAGGAATAAGAATTATAATATTGATATTCAGAACTTAATAGTTTTGATCCTCTGTTTTGAGGGGACGAACTCATTCAAATCAAACTAATTTCTACGTGACATTCTTCCGATGTGTAAACATAAACACTTTCAAGTTGTTTTTCTTATCGAGTATAACCTAAGGACGTACAGTAATGCAATCCATCGGGCAATTTGGAACTTTCATATTTTCTCGATGTTTCATAACCCCTAGACAAGGCCGTAGCTAGGGGGAGACTAGGGAATGCTGAGCCTCCCCTAGATCTAGACAAGTTATAATTAACCAAATGTGAATTACAACATCAAAAATCAAAATAAAATGTAATGTTTTATTCAATAAGCGGAAGTCAGAGCAATAAAAAAGTCTGGACCGTCGGCATTGTGATCCGGTTATTGCAATTCGTAGAAAACATCTTTTAGTTTAATTTCTGTTTTAGTCTCACGTCTACCGCTTGAGTGTTATCGCTATTTGTCTTAAGTTACGAGTACCATAAATGATTTTCATTTGTGTTCAGTCGCACCTCTGTTATTACATACGGTAGACGTGATTAAATTGTGCAGATTATCCTAGAAACTACAGTTAATCTGCGCCCTCTAACGGAAAAAATTCCAACAACATACCATAGTTTCCAAGGTATGATTACACTTTCCATGTGTGTAGATCTGCGAAATATCATAATCTAAAAATATCACAAGCAAAACACGAGAATCGTATTTTCAAATACTTTTACCTATTTTTTTTTGTTTACTTTATTCTATTTAAGATACTCTTATTTAAAAACAAATACATAATGCAATTAAACTGATTTCTAACCTCTTCTTATCTCTATGACCGCTATTACGTAAAGATAGACCAATCTTCTCATAATGACGCTACTCCATAATCTCCATCCAACATCCACAATTCCTCCCAACTACCCGCAATGCCCGATAACCTAAATGTCCCGATCTGGTTCATGTATTGGTCCGAAGCCAAGCTCCTCGGCGACGACTACAGGGTCATCCAACATCCGCGTCAATAAATAACCATCCTAATAATTTGTTTCTCTGTTTCAGGCTCTATTCGTATTCTGCGGATTGATCACATGTTGTTATTGTTGCTGTTGTCTATGCTGCTGTTGCAACTTCTGTTGTGGTAAATGTAAACCGCGACCGCCGGAGGACACAGGGGACTACCACACGTTGAACGTAAGTCGTTTATGTGTTTACATTTTTGACGAATTTCATTGTTTATGCATGATCTTTTCTTGTTGTGGACGCCATCTTGATACGTTAAGGTAAGTTCTCACTTAGACGCACCTCCATTTCTCTTCGACTTGTTTTGATTTTTTCGTTTTGTTGGTTTCGTTTTAAATGTTTTTCGGCGGAAGTGCGAAGGTAAGATGAGTGGGAGGGAGGGGTTGCTGTTGTACAATGCACGTCATGTGACGGGTTTTGTCAGGTTATGGGGGCGGGTTTGTGGAACGGTGGGAAATCGGTGTTTGGGATTGGTTGGTGGTGAATTTTGCGCCGATGAGACAATGTGGCACATGTGGGTTAACGTAAAATATAGGGCTACTTTTTGAATTTTTTGAATAACGTCGTATCGCGTCGTAAAATAATGTGTACTCTGGAATATAAACAAATATCTGTTATATACAGGCTGAGTCACTAAGTGCGCTAATATTATTAGAGATAGCAAAAAAAACTCTAAAATTATTTTTAACGATAAACAGTATTCTGGTTTTAAGGCGTAACACAATTTTTTTTTAATGAAACACCATATGTATTTTTACATTTTCTCATTAGCCTCTTCCTAAGCTTTATATTCCAATTATTTCAATTGGAATTCAATTATCTGTCTGTCTGTCGTCTGTGTCGATTTTTATTAAAGATATAATCTCCGCAACTACCGGACTGATTGTTGTCAAATTTTATAGATGCGTGTGTTAAGAATATCGTGTATATGTTATTTACCATCTGGTAAAACGCTAACTAAAATTTGTCAAATGATCTCCATCAACAATTTTATGACGTCAGCTCAACATTTTGCCCAGTAAAGGATTTTTAAATTTTATCAAATTATGTGCTTCTATACAGGTGGGTTATGAATCCGACTTGATTTTGTTTATTTTTGTTGTATTTATTTTATTTTTTCTCTTATTCAAATCAAAAATGGTTTACCCAAAATAATATTCGGAAACGCTGAATAAATGGTCAAACTTCAACATTGAATGCTTACGTAATTTGGTGACATACTGAGTAGAGCACAAATAAAAAATCACACGGTATTATATAACGTTATTACATAAAAAAATGTAAAGCCCTGATACGCACAAATGTATTAGATTCACAAAAAAAACGCCGATATGGTTGACGTAATACGAATTATCGTCATTAGCAAACATGATAATGCGCACTACGTGACCTTGATCTTCTGCAGTATAGATTACTCAATTCTTCCTCATTGTAGTGCGCGATTGATTAAGTATGCGTACATTTTTTAATTTTATCTCTTTTAACATTTCCTATGTCAGAGAAGTTCAGTGCTCTTGACGTTGATATACATTCAAAATGGTCGGCAACACACTAAAGTGTGCTGTACTGATGAGACCATGGAGATTGAAACTACAGTTTATTGCTTTTTATTATGTTGTCTAGTTTTCCGAGTTTGTAATTTTTAGCGATACATTGAGTCCCTAAAAAAATGAAACGTTTTTCTAGAGTATGTATCATGAAAAATGTTGGGCATTTTTAGTTGAGATAATCAGTAAAAATATGACTGAATAAAAACTTCTTTCTGTTGAATTTTCACGTTTTAAGTTCTAAGATAATTAAATGTATTTAGTTAAGTTTTTTGTTTAAACATGTATAAAAAGTCAGTATTTTGAACATTTGATTATTTATTTTACTTGGTAGTGAGTACTATCTTAAACTTCCATGAAGTATGGCTTATTTCGATTTATAATAGTAACAGTTTGTTCTTATTCTGCTTTAAACAGTAATTATGTATTTGATGTATTTGTTAAACTTTTGTAGTTTACGAAAGTTATTTCAGAACAAAAAAAAATGGTTGAAGGTAATTGCAACAGAACTTCCCTCGATCCCAATAAATCCGGCTTCTGTTTTCTGATAATTTCTATAATGTTAAAACAAGTGGTGTAAATCAACACTCCCGCAACTTTTTTGACCTGAATTTTAAACTTCTTCAATTTTTATTTTTTTTGGTTCTTTAGTTTTTCGATTTGCAATTTTTCGAGTTTTCAAGTTTAAATTTTTCAGTTTTTTAGATTTAAAATTTCTAGAGTTTTCAATTTTTAATTTTTGTTTTGGATTCTTTAATTTTTCATTTCTTCAAATTTTCTGTTTGTAATTTTTCGTTTCGGTTTTTTATGTTTACAATTTTCCGATTTATATTTTTTTGAGTTTTCAATTTACAATTTTTAATTTTTTTTTGTTCTTCAGTTATACGATATTAAGTCTTTGAATGTCCATTTTGAAATTTTTCAGTTATTCGGTTTTTCAACTTTTGGATGTTTCAATTTTTAGATTTTGCAATTTTTGAAATTGCAATTTTACGAGTTTTAAATTTTTAATTTTTCAATTTTTCATTAAAATTTTTCGATTTGCAATTTTTTATTCTGGTTTCTGTTATCTTTATTTTTAATTTTTCGGTTTTTCAAAGTTGTGATTTTGTTTTTTTTTTCAATAACCAAAATTTTTCAATTTTGCCGTTTTTCAACTTTTAGATTTTTTCGATTAATTTTTCGGTTCTTCAGTATTTGATCTGCAATTTTTTTTGTTTTCATTTCATATGTAATAATAATGATTTTTAAAATTTCCCACTTTTTCAATTTTACGATTTCAGAATTTTTACGTTTTCCAATTATTGAATTTTAAAATTTTTAAATTTATTCGATTTTTCAATTTTTTCTATCCGATTCGTTTTTCTTTCCAATTTTTCGATTCATTAATTTTTGTTCCAATTTTAAGTTTCATGATTTTTAGTTTTTCGTTTCTTCTGCTTTTCGATTTGAAATTTTTAATTTTCCTCTTTTCGATTTTGTAAATTCTCGTTTTTTTAGTTTTTCCATTTTTCAGTTTTTCGATTTTTCTACTTTTTCCAATGGAAAAATTTCAACATTGTAACATGAATGATGAAAAATCAAAAATGAAATTGACGGAAAAGTATAAAAGGAATACTTTTGGAAAATCTAAAAACTGGAAATCAGGAACTTCAAATTGAAGAAACGAATAATTGAAAAACCGAAAGATTAAAAATTAAGTAACTTCAAAATCGAAATTTCTTCTTTTCAGTTTTTCAATTCATTACTTTCGATTTTTAGTTTCAATTTTTCGTTCCTTCGGTTTTTCGATTTCCCACTTTTTCGATGTAGCAATTTCTCGTTTTTTCCGTTTCTCGATTTTTCAATTTTTTCCGATTTTTGCATTTTTGGTTTTTCAACTTTTCGAATCAAAAAAACGCAAAAATTGCGAAACTATAAAATTGCAATTTTTCGTTTCGGCTTTTTAAATAAATTATTTTTTCAATTTTTCGTTTCTTCAATTGTACCATGCAAATTTTCAAGTTGTCATTTTAAAGTTTTTCTTTCCAATTTTTCGATTCATTAATTTTTAATTTAAGTTTCACGATTTTTTGTTTTTCAATGTTTCAATTTTTCGTTTCTTCGGTTTTCCGATTTGAAATTTTTAATTTTCTTTTTTTCGATTTTGCAAATTTCCTTTTTTTCAGATTTTCCATTTTTCAATTTTTTCGAATTTTTTAGTTTTTCGATTTTTCAGTTTTTCGGTTTTTCAACTTTTTCCAATGGAAAAATTACAAAATTGTAAAATTGAAAAATCAAAAATGAAATTACGGAAAAGTTTAAAATGAATACTTTTGGAGAATCTAAAAAGTGGAAATCAGGAACTTGAAATTGAAGAAACGAATAATTGAAAAACTGAAAGATTAAAAATTGGGAAACTTCAAAATGGAATTTTCTTCTTTTCAGTTTTTCGATTCATTACTTTTTTCGTTTTTTCAGTTTCTCGATTTTTCAATTTTTTCCGATTTTTCAATTTTTGATTTTTCAACTTTTCAAAACAAAAAAACGGAAAAATTGCTATGAAAATTAAAAAAAAAATGAAAAAAGGAAAGTACAAAATGAAAACTTTGAAACATCTAAAAATTGTAAATCAAGAACTTGAGAAATTGAAGAAACGGAAAATTGAAAAAACGAAATATAAGAAATTAAAGAAATCGGAATTGAGAAATTGAAAATTTGCAAAATTGAAAAATTTAAAAACTGGAAAATCGAAGAAAAAATTAAAGATTGAAAATTTGAAAAATTGAATAATGGAAAAATTAGCAAGTCGAAAGAAACATTGAAAAAATAAAAGAAACGAAAAAACGAAAAATTGTGATATAAAATCGAAAACATGAAAATTAGAAAACTTAAATTTTTCGGTTTTTCTGTGTCTTGGTCTAATGATTTTTCTTTTTTCAATGTGAAATTTTTGAATTTTTACGATTTTTCTTTTGCGCTTTTTCGATTTTCAATTTTTCGATTTTTCAAGTTTGATAAAATTTTTCAGTTTCATGATTTCTCTAGTTTTCATTATTTCAAATAAATATGGTGATAATTTTTAAAATACTTCACTTTTTCATTTATTCGACTTTTCAATTTTTCGATTTTTACTTTTTCAGTTTTTCGATTCTTCCATTTTTCATTTCTTCAAAGTTTGCAATTTTTGGTTTCGATTTTTTAAATAAATTATTTTTTCAATTTTTCGTTGCTTCAATTTTTCGATTTGCAATTTTTCATTTTTTGTTATATCTTTCCGCTTCTCGATTTTTCAGTTTTTCGTTTCTTCAGTTTTTGCTTAGCAAGATTTCTAGTTTTCATTATAAATATGTAATTATTATAATAAACAAAAAAAAAACACTTTCAATTGTACGATTTTATAATTTTCCTATTTTTCAATTATTATTGGATTTTAAAACTTTTTCGTTTATTCGATTTTTATTTTTATATCATTTTATTCGATTTTCCAATTTTTCGATCTTCCAATCTTACAGTTTTTCGACTATACAATTTTGACGATTCTGTAATTTTTTGATTTTACAATTTTTGGGTTTTCCAATTCTTCGATTTGATTCGTTTTTCTTAACAATTTTTCGATTTATTACTTTTTTTGATTTTAAAGTTTCACGATTTTTAGTTTTTCGATGTTTCAATTTGTCGTTTCTTCAGTTTTTCGATTTGAAATTTTTAATTTTCTTCTTTTCGATTTCGCAAATTTTCGTTTTTTCAGGTTTTCCATTTTTCAATTTTTTCGAATTTTTTAGTTTTTCGATTTTTCAGTTTTTCGGTTTTTCAACTTTTTCCAATGGAAAAATTGCAAAATTGAAAAATCAAAAATGAATACTTTTGGAAAATCTAAAAATTGAAAGTCAGGAACTTGAAATTGAAAAACCGAAACTGAGAAACTTCAAAATTGAAAAACGAAATATTGTAAAATCGAAATATTGAAAATTAAAGAAATCGTAAAATCGAGGAATCGAAAGAGATTGAAAATTTAAAAAATTGAATAATAGAAAAAATAAAGGAAATGAAAAAATGAAAAATTATGATATTAAACCAAGAAAATGAAAATTAAAAAATCGGGAAAATGAAAAATAAAAATTAAGAATTTGAAAAATTGGAGAAACGAAAAATTGAAAAATTCCCATATCAAAAAATTGGTCGAAGGTAAATAAATCCAGATTTTTCAAAAAAATTAAAAGATATGCTTTTGCGAATTTATTTTAATATTACCTCTTCCGATTTTTTTCCCAGAAATCTGAAACTGAACACGGATTCATAAACCATATTTAAAAGAAAGATTATCGTATTTTATAAAATTCAAAATAATATTTACTATTGTAAATTTTGTAGATGATGTCATCCAATGGTTGGTAGGGATATTTATTGAAATTTTGATTAGTGGTTTAGCATATATAAAATTTGACAACAATCGTTCTAGTACAGACAGACAGACAGATAGACAAACAAACGGAAACGAGAGATCTATATTTTCGTACTCTATGGGTCATGAAAAGTCGAGAAAACTAAAAGTAGTCAGTCGTCCAACGAGTTTTAATAGATGGGAAACGATATTTGTATTAACGAAATTTTTATTTTATATTTTAAGCTCAACATCTAGAGAACATTTCGTACTAATCCTGCTTGATTTTTACATAAAAATATGTTTCTTTATCCCAGTTTTTTAATTTATTTATGTTTTTAATTAAAGCTTGCGTTCATCATTAACCCGTCCACGAACACACCGTCCACCATTCTACAAACCCACCCCCCACTTTTATTTTATGCACAATTTACATGCGTCTGCTAACCGCATTTTTTGTTATTTTTTATTTTTTGTTTTGATTTTGTTTTCCGTTGGTCGTTCTCATACGTAGTGATGTTTTCAGCGAGACCAAGGTCCAAGTAGTAATCAACCTGTTACGTCCCAGCCAGGTAAAAGGGTGAGTTTTGTTTTACAGCGTTATGGTAACAATCAGTTTCGATTATTTTTTCTGTAAATTAATTCTGTGGTTGTTGGGCGCCGAAAAGCGGAAAGTTTTGCCAAAAGACGTAGTACATATGTGTATATAGTGTGTGTCGCATGTTAACCTGTACCTTCATTCCCTCCCATTCATTGCCATTTCACTATTAGTTTGCAGCACCGTAGAGCTAGACATATGAATAGCGAAATGCGCTTGTTTTTGTTTTCTTAATAGGCGAAAATCGATGGAGTTGTGGAGTTTGGATTGTGAGGGTGAACTCGGTGAGCAAAATGTGAGTATCGAAAATTGTTTTCGTTGAATTATAATAATAACGTGAAGGAGATAACACTGGGTGTACTCCTATTTCAAAAACAATGATTCATTTGGCGGTTTCACTAAACCATAAAAAAATAACTGCCTACACTGTAAGTGCGATAGCGTCGGACTCAGAAGCCGTCCTTGTTTTATTACTCTACGCTTCATTTCGGATTTTATTTTCAGCTACCTTATCATTTGTTGACAATAAATGAGATCGGGTTTAGCGAAAAATGGAATGGTAAAATCAGGTCGACGAAGACGGAAATGCGCTTAGCCACGATATTGTTTTATCAATGGCGATTAGTCACGTTACGTATTTTTTATTTGTGCTATTTTTATTACCATGTGATCGCATAAAACTAATTGTCATGTGGTGATTCATTTGATTTTTATTTTTGTAAAGAGATATGTTTACGTCGGATTATTTCTTCATGAGAGTAAATTAAGAAACTTCTTATCAATATCAATCCTCGTGTGTGGTTATTATGTATAGTTTTCTTACACGCAGTCAGTTTTCAAACATGCCATTGTTATTTAGGAGACGTAGGAGAAGTTTATAATGGAAGAAATTATAATCAGTCCGTTAAATATGCTAATTTAATAGACTTCTACGTTTTTGTTAAGTAGGATTTTATTTTTCTGATCAAACTTTTCTATCCCATGGTCAACGATGTGGTCAGTAATCTATTATTGCCTTTTTTAAGAAGCACCGACAAAGTGTAAGAAAGTTAGGTTATGATTGATATTTCTGACGGTCATCACAACGAGGCGGCACAATCACCAAATTTCAAAGCCAACTTGATGTAACGTTTAAAATTTGATTAAACGCAAGTTTCCTTTTTTTGTCGATTTTTTTAATGTGTGTACAGTGTACAGTTCATAGTTCTTTATTTATCCGTACATGATTTCTAGCACACTATTAAAACAATTTTTTTGTTTTTTTTTTTGTGATACTTTTCGTCCATATAATTACAAATTTGCCTCCATCAATTTACTGATTATATATAATTTATAACAAACAACACGACACGGATCAATTTTCATGAGTGAATTATTTATTGAAGTTGTAATTGCCCAGTAAATAATGGATTAAAAAAAAAAGAAAAAGTGTATTATGAAAGGTTCCTTTTCTGATACAATAGGGTATAATATAATGAGTAAACTAATATTTAACATTTGGATTATATGTATTGTTCGAAACGTAGCAGATGTAGATTTTTTATTTGGTATCAATGTTCTAATTTTTGTATATTGATTCTATGTATGTATGTGATACATTCAGTAGTAATTTTGACTTAGAAAAAGCTGTCAAGAATTGATAATTTTGTTTTTCAGTTATTCGATTTTTCATCTTCGTTTCGTCAATTTTTCGATTGGCTATTTTTTGATTTTTCTATTTTTTGATTTTTCAGTGTCTAGATTTTTAATTTTCGATCTGCAATTTTTCGATTGTTCAGTTTTTCAATTTGAGTTTTTGAAAATTTCTTGATACTCAATTTGTAATTTTTCAACAACAAAAAACTATTGAAACTGAAATTTTGAACAATTATTTTAATGTTGTTCTGATGTTTTCGATTTTCGCCTGCAATTTTGGTGCGAAAATGAACGAAAAGTTGTAAAAGCAACAAATTTTATCTAAGCTTAAAAAAGCACAAATTGAAAAATTGAAAAATCGAAAAATTAAGAAGGGAGAGATGCTGAAAAATAGAATAATTGAAAAATTGCAAATCAAAAATTGAGGAAATGCGAAACTGATACACTAAAAAGTGGAAAAATTGAAGAAACTAAAATTTATTTTTTTTCCTTCAATTTTTCGATTTCAGTTTTTCAAGTTTTCAGTTTAAAATTTTTCAGTTTTCGAATTTTTCAAATATTCGATTTTTCAACTCTTCGTTTCGTCAATTTTTCGATTGGCTATTTTTTTGATTTTTCATTGTGTAGGTTTTTAATTTTCCGATTTGCAATTTTTTGGGTCTGCAGTTTTTCGATTGTTTAATTTTTCGATTTGCAATTTTTTGAATTAATCATTTTTCGTTTCTTCAGTTTTTCAACTTGTGATTAGTAAATTTTTTGCTACTTAATTTTTTAATTTTTCAACAAAAAATTAGCAGTTTTTTACGGTTTTTCAATGTTTGGATTTTTTAGCTTCCTTATTTTTCCATATTTCGTTTCTTCAATCTTTCGATTTCAGTTTTTCAAGTTTTCAATTTAAAATTTGTCAGCTTTCGAATTTTTCAAATATTCGATTTTTCAACTCTTCGTTTCGTCAATTTTTCGATTGGCTATTTTTTGATTTTTCAGTTCCTAGGTTTTTTATTTTCCGATTTTCAATTTTTTTGGGTCTTCAGTTTTTCGATTGTTTAATTTTTCGTTTCTTCAATTTTTCGATTTGCAGTTTTTCGAATTAATCATTTTTCGTTTCTTCAGTTTACAATATGTGATTTAGTACATTTTTTGCTACCTGATTTTTTAATTTTTCAACAAAATATTAGCAGTTTTTCGGATTTTCAATGTTTGGATTTTTTAGCTTCCCTATTTTTCCATTTTTCGTTTCTTCAATTTTTCGATTTGCAGTTTTTCGAATTAATCATTTTTCGTTTCTTCAGTTTTTCAACTTGTGATTAGTAAATTTTTTGCTACTTAATTTTTTAATTTTTCAACAAAAAATTAGCAGTTTTTACGGTTTTTCAATGTTTGGATTTTTTAGCTTCCTTATTTTTCCATATTTCGTTTCTTCAATCTTTCGATTTCAGTTTTTCAAGTTTTCAATTTAAAATTTGTCAGCTTTCGAATTTTTCAAATATTCGATTTTTCAACTCTTCGTTTCGTCAATTTTTCGATTGGCTACTTTTTGATTTTTCAGTGCCTAGGTTTTTAGTTTTCCGATTTGCAATTTTTTTGGGTCTTCAGTTTTTCGATTGGTTAATTTTTCGTTTCTTCAATCTTTCGATTTGCGGTTTTTCGAATTAATCATTTTTCGCTTCTTCAGTTTTTCAATTTGTGGTTTAGTAAATTTTTTGCTACTTAATTTTTTAATTTTTCAACAAAAAATTAGCAGTTTTTCGGTTTTTCAATGTTTGGATTTTTGGCTTCCCTATTTTTCCATTTTTCGTTTCTTCAATTTTTCGATTTCAGTTTTTCAAGTTTTCAGTTTAAAATTTTTCAGCTTTCGAATTTTTCAAGTATTCGATTTTTCAACTCTTCGTTTCGTCAATTTTTCGATTGGCTATTTTTTTATTTTTCAGTGTCTAGGTTTTTAATTTTCCGATTTGTAATTTTTTGGGTCTTCAGTTTTTCGATTGTTTAATTTTTCGTTTCTTCAATTTTTCGATTTACAGTTTTTCGAATTAATCATTTTTTGTTTCTTCAGTTTTTCAATATGTGATTTAGTACATTTTTTGCTACCTGATTTTTTAATTTTTCAACAAAAAATTAGCAGTTTTTCGGATTTTCAATGTTTGGATTTTTTAGCTTCCCTATTTTTCCATTTTTCGTTTCTTCAATTTTTCGATTCGCAGTTTTTCGAATTAATCATTTTTCGTTTCTTCAGTTTTTCAATTTGTGATTTGGTAATTTTTTTGCTACTTAATTTTTTAATTTTTCAACAAAAAATTAGCACTTTTTACGGTTTTTCAATGTTTGGATTTTTTAGCTTCCTTATTTTTCCATATTTCGTTTCTTCAATCTTTCGATTTCAGTTTTTCAAGTTTTCAATTTAAAATTTGTCAGCTTTCGAATTTTTCAAATATGTATTCGATTTTTCAACTCTTCGTTTCGTCAATTTTTCGATTGGCTACTTTTTGATTTTTCAGTGCCTAGGTTTTTAATTTTCCGATTTGCAATTTTTTTGGGTCTTCAGTTTTTCGATTGGTTAATTTTTCGTTTCTTCAATTTTTCGATTTGCAGTTTTTCGAATTAATCATTTTTCGTTTCTTCAGTTTTTCAATTTGTGATTTGGTAAATTTTTTGCTACTTAATTTTTTAATTTTTCAACAAAAAATTAGGAGTTTTTCGGTTTTTCAATGTTTGGATTTTTTAGCTTCCTTATTTTTCCATTTTTCGTTTTTTCAATTTTTCGATTTCAGTTTTTCAAGTTTTCAGTTTAAAATTTTTGAGCTTTTGATTTTTCAAATGTTCGATTTTTCAACTCTTCGTTTCGTCAATTTGTCGATTGTCTATTTTTTGATTTTTTAGTGCATAGGTTTTTAATTTTCCGATTTGTAATTTTTTTGGGTCTTCAGTTTTTCGATTGTTTAATTTTTCGTTTCTTCAATTTTTCGATTTGCAGTTTTTCGAATTAATCATTTTTCGTTTCTTTAGTTTTTCAATTTGTGATTTGGTAATTTTTTTGCTACTTAATTTTTTAATTTTTCAACAAAAAATTAGCAGTTTTTCGGTTTTTCAGCTTCCTTATTTTTCGTTTCTTCAATTTTTCGATATCAGTTTTTCAAATTTTCAGTTTAAAATTTTTCTGCTTTTGATTTTTCAAATATTCGATTTTTTAACTCTTCGTTTCATCAATTTTTCGGTTGGCTATTTTTTGTGTTTGTATTTTTGGATTTTTCAGTGTCCAGATTTTTTAATTTTCGATTTCCAATTTTTTTTTCTTTTTCAATTTGTGGATTGTTCAATTTTTCATTTATCAATTTCCCGATTTGCAGTTTTTTCCTGTAATTTTGGTGTGCGAATCATCATTACAGTTTTTCTTCAAAAATTGTAAAACCGAAAAATTGAAAAAACGAAAAGTTGTAAAAGCAAAAAATTGTATCTAAACTTGAAAAATAACAAATCGAAAAACTAAAAAATCGAAAAATTAAGAAGAGAGATGCTGAAAAATAGAATCATTAAAAAGTTGCAAATCAAAAATTGAAGAAATGTGAAACTAATACGCTGAGAAATCGAAAAATTGAAAAAACTAAAATTTATTAATTCGAAAAGCAGAAAGTCGAAAAATTGAACAACTGTTAAAGTGGGTGAATTGAAAAATTCAAAGCTGAATTCGATCTCCTGAAAACTCGAAAAATTTTGAGATCGAAAAATTAAAAATCGAGAAGTTGAAAATTTGAACAATTGGACTGAGAAATCGAAAAATTGAAGAAACTTAAAATCCAAAAATCCAAAAATGAAAAAAATAAAAAACGAGGAGGAGAAAAGTAGTAAATTTAATAATAATGAAAAATTGAAAATCCGGAAAATGGAAAATCGAAAATTGAAGAAACGAAAAGATGAAAAATCGAAGAATCGAGAACATTGCAAATCGAAAAATTGGACGATTGAAAAATTAAAAAAGTTGAAGTGGATGAATTGAAAAATCGAAGAAACGAAAAGATGATAAATCGAATTGGAAAATTCAAAAAATGAAATTGAAAACTTTGAAATTGAAAACTCGAATAATTGCAAATCGAATAATTAAAAATCCAGAAGCTGAAATTGAAAAATGGCGAGTTGAAAAATTGAAGAAATAGAAAATTGAAAAATCGAGAACATTGCAAATCGAAAAATTGGACAACTGAAAAATTGAAAAATGTGAAATGGATGAATGGAAAAATTGAAGAAACGAAAAGATGATAAATCGAATTTCAAAAATTGAAATTAACTCGAATAATTTAAATCGAAAAATTAAAAATCGTGAAGCTGAAATTGAAAAATGGTGGGTTGAGAAATTGAAGAAATAGAGAATTAAAAATCGAGAAAATGGCAACTCGAAAAGTTCAAAAATCGAAAAATTGAAGAAATAAAAAGTTGATAAATCGAATAATTGAAAAATTCGATGAAATGAAAATTTTAAATTGAAACTCGCAAAATTGCAGAATGAAAAGCCGAAAAATCGACTAACTGAAAAATCAAGAGATTGAAAAACCGAAAAATTGAAGGAACGAAAATTTGAAAAATCGAAAAAATTCAAAAATTGAAATCAATCCCTTGAAAAAATTTTGAAATTGCAAACTTGAAAAATTGCAAATCGAAAAATTGAAGAATTAAAAAATGCCAAATTGAAAAATTGAAGAATTAAAAAATTGCAAATCGGAAAATCCCAAAAATACCCACCTGAAAAATTGAGAAAACTAGAAGATGAATTTACAATTGAAAAATTGAAGAAATGACAAGTTGAAATATTGAGAAATTAAGAAAAGTTGAAAACTCAAAAATTGAAAATCGTGAATTGAATAAATCAAATTTTTAGTTTTTGAATGACATATTCGATGTAAATGAACAACTTCAAAATTTGAAATTGGTCAAATTTTAAGTAGAAAACGTGAAAAATTGCCAAATAAAAATTGAGAAACTAATTAATCGTGTGGTAATGGAAAATTGAAAAATCAGAAAATTCGAAAAATTGACATACCGTAAAATCGAAAAACTGGAGAATCTTTAAAAGTTTATAATGCAAATTGGTGCTAATTTTAAGTTTTCAATTTCCCAATTGTTCAATTTACCGATTTCTTTAATTTTCAATATTTCGATTTTACAATACTGTTACGTTGAACGGGTATTAAAATCGGCGTGGGAAAAACTCAACAATTTTATTTCTTAGTAACTCGGATTTACACGATCAATTACAGAGTAATTATGTACAGAATAATTCCGACGCAACATTCACTGGGTTTTCTCGACACTCGTTGGACTCGACTTGTTAACTGAATTCAGTCATTGTCTGGACTGCATAAACTGCTCCCGACGGTGGTTCCTATTTAAACAGCCGCTTCTAGGCTTATTCTCGAACGTCCGTCGCGGACATCCGCTTCCAGACTTTTCTCCGGCCGCCGTCACGGACAATGAGTCATCCTCGCCGTATATACTAGAACCCATAGGCGTCGTATATGGGTTTATTTCGTAACAATACCTATTTCGTTTTTTTGATTTTTAAGTTTCTTCAATTTTTCAAGTTCTTGACTTAATTTTAGATTTTTCAAGTTTTCATTTTACACTTTTTCGTTTTTTCAATTGTACAGTTTTGAAATTTTTCAATTTTTTTGATTCGAAAAGTTGAAAAATCGAAAAATTGAAACTCAAAAAGCTAAAAAATCGGAAAAAAATGGAAGAATCGGAAAACTGAAAAAACGAAATATTGCAAATCGCGGAGCTGAAGAAATAAAAAATTCAAACATTGAAATATGTACTAAAAATTGTATACAAGTCGAAAAATTGTAACATTGAAAGATCGAAAAATTGAAAAATCGAATAAAATGATAAAAAAATGAATAAAAATAAAAATCGACTAAATGAAAAAGTTTTAAAATCCAATGATTGAAAAATGCAAAAAATGTAAAAGTTATAATTATTGGTAATAATTTATTACTAATATATTTATAATGAAAACTAGAAATCTTGCAAACCAAAATCTGAAGAACCGACAAACTGAAAAATCGAGAAGCGGAAAAATATAGCATTGAAAAAACGCAAAAATGAAAAATCTAAAATTGAAAAATGAAAACCTAAAAAGTGCAAACTCCAAAAATTTCACATTGAATAAAAGAAAAATTGTTAAATCATAACATTGAAAAACCGAATAATTGAAGACTTGAAAAATTGAAATTTTTTAATTTTCATGTTCTCGATATTATACCAATTTTTCGTTTTTTCATTTTCTTTATTTTTTCAATGTTACTTTCGACTTTATATTTTTTCGGTTATTCAAATTTCAAATTTTTAATCTTTAATTTTTCAATTCCTGGATTTTCCAGTTTTTAAATTTTTCAATTTTTTAAATTTCGAATTTTTCAATTATCCAATTATCCAATTGTGCGAAAAAGTGAAAAAATTAAAATTGAAAAAACAAGAAATTACAAATTCGAAACATTGAAAAATCGAATATTTGGAAAAATAAAGGAAAGAAAAAACCGAAACGAGAAAATGCAAAATACAAAAATTGAAAAATTAAAAATTGAAAACTCGAGAAACTCAAATCGAAAAACTGAAGAAACAAGAAAAATGAAAAATTGAAGAATTGAAAAATTCAAGTTAGAAAACTGCGGGAGTGTTATTTATGCTACTGGTTTTTACTTTATAGGAGTTATCAGAAAAAAAAACGCAACCATTTTAAAAATTATTTCTGAGTCTCCCATTGGTTAAAATTGTATCATATTCGACAAAGGCAATTAATTCTATTCACCTCTTGTTTCTCGGTTAAGTCTTGTAATTTTAAACACAGTACTTATACAATCCATCATAATGAAAATCATTACAAAAAATATTGTTTCTGGACCCATTTAATGAAGTTTGACTTGTAAACTTTTGTGCTGAAAATTTGTTACATAAAAAAAGTATTCCTCTTTCATTTTTACAATAATTAATATTTATTTCTGTTTTAGCAACCATAAACTCACATTTTCACCCCCAGGCCTTTCATTATTCAAACACGGATAATTGCTTTTTGTAAAATAAAACTCTGCTTATAGTAATCTTGCCAGAAGCAGTTTTTTTTTTGCTAAATTTATCATTGTTACTCATTATTTTTTGGCCTCTTTACATCGTCCTTAAATTTGGCTCTAGCGCTTCTTGAGATTTTGACGTGAAGTTCATAATCCTTACATAATTGGGCTGATTCGTTAGGAGTATTTTCAAGTTTAATTTTGTTGGAAACTTTTTTTAAGATGTAAAATTCATCGTTTTCAACGAATTTTACATACTTTTGCGGTGAATAATAATTGATTTGTTTTCAAGTAATCAACATACAGTGTACTGTGCGTACAAAATTTGACAACAATCGATCTAGTAGTTTCAGAGATTATGTTTAGTAAAAATTGATACAGACGGAAACAGGAGACCACTCTTGAGGTCATTGAACGTCGAGAAAGCATGAAAGTGGTAAGTCGCCCGATTGTCTCGGCTCAGGAAGTAAAAACAATCAACAAATATGGGTAGTGTTTGTTATTGTCACTGGTCCATGAGATAACGCGAATTTCTCGTAAGAATACTATTGTAGCCACGAATATGCCTTCCTCTAATGCACTATTTCCCCCAAAAATAGTATTAAAAGACCCGACGTACCAACCCATTATAATAAAATTTTTACCAGCTCGCCGAATTTTAATCTTCAACCTCACCGAGTTCGCCCTCGCAGACCGTCCACCCTTCCGGGTTTTCGCCGAGTGCCTGACGTTAATGTCTCTCTCCCCTGAATTTTTTATGTTGCGGCTTGGTGCGGGGACGTTTTCTTTTCTTGTAACTACATACTCTTAGACCGACAACAAGATCGTCGATGCATCGCTGCTCCCAGCCCACTTCACCACGTGAATGTGTTTATGCTTCCAGGAGGACGCATCCGACGATGAGCCGGCGATCGGTTCGCCTAGGAACGATTCGCCGCCGGTTACCGCACAACCGTCGCCCAAGAAGGGTCCTAACGCCCCCGTTTACGCCATGCCGCCGCCGACGTCCAATTTAGGTGAGAGCGCGGCACTAAATCAGGGAGACGTGCCAGTCTATACGCCAGGTACGCTTTTACATGTCTTCTTTTCGATGCTTTTCGAAGTAGACGGATAGTGTGGCTTGCGTGAGATGTGATTGAAGGGGGGGGACGATGCGGTAGAAAGTTCTTGCAAAAGTTGTGTTTTTCGGTCCAGTGTTCAAGGTGATGCAGTAAAGCGAGTTGATTTTGGCCTTCTTGGTGCAAGTCGTGGTTCAAATACCTGCTGCAGTCCGTTTACCGAACAGATGGAGTGTAACGTGGGCACGATCACGCATTCCACTTATTGGTTTATGAGAGAAAGGCCTAAGTCAAATTGGTTTACTATAGGTACCGGATGATTTTTTGTTGATTTGTGATCTAGTTTTCCTAGAATTTGTTGAAAGAACAAGTTCGGTCGTAACTTAACACGCAATGACTTGAATGTATCATGTAGTAGTGATACGCAAACTGACTCTGCTGATGACGAAATAGTTTCCATATCTGTTGTTGCATAAAAACATTTGGTTACCAACGTTACAAATAGGGAATTGCAGCCTGAAGATAAACTTGCGGGAGCGTAATTTTAACCATTCATCCAGCTCTTGCAAAAGTAATGTTATCTGCCCTCGCTGTGCTGGGAACCATAGCCTTAAAGAGTACCAAGATGAGCAGCTGCGTTGTATAAATTGTACTACAATGAAATTGTCTGGAAATCATGATCAATGATTTACCTGCTAAGTGAATACCTGCTAAGATAAGACTGAATTTGGCAAATAACATCGCCTCTAAGAAAAGAGAGGGTGGGTGGGCGGGGCTAGTAGTAGAAGACTCTGTTGTCGCTAGAAATGAAAATTGTTCCAATTAAACGTGTGTATTATCCGTTCACGATCTTTATATAGTAGGGTTTTCCATGAAAATCTAGTAAGGTTGTTGCTATTCGATGGAGAAGAATAAAAATTCCATGAACTTTTTTCGTTAGGTTCTGTTTTATTAAATTAAAGGTTAAAAAATATGCCAGAAATATAAACATTGTTGCCGATACTTTCAGTTTTCAGTAGCAATGACCAAGTTAACGGTATCCATTTCTCAGAAAGCATACAACTTTACGCTATTTAAAACGGTTATTCGGCTTTTTGTAAGTGTTTATTTCATATGTAAGGAACAATCACTAAAATTTCACTTAAACATTGTTTTTATATGAATGGGGGTTCTACATACGACTATTGTCGCATGCCACATTTAGCATCTCGCTTTTAATTCTCAATCATCAGTTCGTTCTGCTCGCCCACTCTTAGAAATGGAAATTTCGACCTTTGTGAACAGCCTATTTCCATATCTTCCAACTTCTTTTTTCACTTTTCTAAGATTACTAAAAGGGTTGGTAAAAGACAACAATCTTGCTCTAGTGCTTTGATGGGTTTAGCTCTTCTGAAACATTTTTCCGGCCTTAAATTGAATGATTTATCTATATAGTTATTACTAATGCTTACGTAAGTGCTCTTTATTTGCTTTTACTAAGTACTTCCAAACGCTTATTAATAAGAACGTTACTATACGCCTTCTCCAGGTCCATGAAGAGTTACAAAAAAAATCAAAATGCTTAAAATTTGGTGCAAAGTAACAACGTGGATGATCTAACTAAAATTATACTTATTTTGTTGTACGTCAGGTAGTTTTTCACATACTACCTTGGTTAATTTAGAACGAAAGATGCGTAAAAATATCACCCCCCGACAAGCTACAATTCACTCCATTTCCATTATTTCGCTATGAAAATTTGTACCATCACCGTTATTCTCAAATTCAGATTCTGAATCAGATTCACCTAGCGAAATAATGAAAGGAGGTATAGATTCGTACGAAAGATTTCCCATATTTTTTCCCAATCTGCCAAAATAAGTTTTTCACAATGTTTACAAAAATTTTGCCACATGCTTGGAGTACATTTAGAAAGCGCCTCAAGCCATAGAAATTATAGTCATTTTCCATAGTTTGCTCCGGTAACTATGGAAAATTGAATTGTTTGAAAATAACGCGACTGTCAATTTGTAAATTCGATTAATAATTTAAATGGTTTAATTTTGCTTCTGAGCTCTGTTAATTGTGGAATTCGATGAAGATGAAGAGTTTGAAGGTGATTTTAACGTTAGTATTAGCACAGTATTAGTGAGATTAAGAAAAAGGGCGACGCAGCGAATGTGTGTTTGATTCCGGTGCTGTCATGATAACGTTTTACAGGCAAGGTGCCTGTAAAGCTGCCACGGTAACGCTTTACAGGCAGGGTGCGTGTAAAGGCTAATTTACCGAGTTAGTTCAGACGACAGTAAACGAGCTTTAACAAGACAAGAGGAAGTAAAAAATATTTTACAGCGTATTTTTACAATACAGAAAATATTTTCGAGACCCTCATAGTTACTTCTTCGAAAGAAAAATCGGGTCTGTCTTTTCGAAACTGCAAAAAACGTCATTTTATTGCAATTTTTTCTTGCAGTAAAAGTATTTTAGGTATTTTCTTTTTAAATAATGTCGCAATGATCTGTGAATCTGTCACAATGACAAATTATCTATGCTGACAAAATTAAAACATTTGTTTGCTTGATTAAAAAATTGCGTCTAATAATTCTAATCTAATAAATGAAGTAGAAAAGTGGCAATCCAGCTCAAAGCAAATGTCAGTCAGACTACTGACAGACAAAAAACTAAATCATCAAATCAGTTTATCCAACTTAAAGAAGAAATATGAAAGCCTACCTTACTAAGTATATAAAGATCGTGAATGGATAATAGGTACACTAATTAAATATAGCGAAGAATTGCAAAATGTCTATTATCAATCCGAACAATTCTTTTTGCATAATAAACTTGGCAAGATTTTTTCTGTACGAATTGAAACAAAAATAAAACCGAAAACGAATTGTAACTCATCATTAGAGAGCGGATTTATAAGCACAAAAAAATTAAGAATAAGCGCTTAAATAAGCGCAACATTTTCAATAAAAAAGTTTTATTTTAAGCAAAAAAGCATTAAATAAGCATAACACTTTCATTAAAAAAGTTGTATTTTAAAAAAGCATTAAAAACATAATCATATTACAAATCAAAGAACACTTCTTAGAACTTTGGATAAAATATTATTACAATAATCCTAGACTTTATATTTTACACACATATTTCAGTTTTCTTTAAAACAATTTTATGATTGTAATGTTCCAAGTTGTCCACTGTAAAATTTTTTCGCCGATCATTTAAAATGTGTTTAAAATTGGAGAATGTGCGTTCAACATCCACACTCGTTGTTGGCGCAAATTTGAATTTTGCAACTAATGTTGAATCTAACTCCAAATTTTCCACCTTCTGTCTTTGTAAAACACGAGCAACGTCGGAAAGAACACCGAAACCTGCATTTTTATGTAACACTTCGTCAAGTTTTTGAGATACTCTAGTACCAATATCACCCCTTACTGCGTTTGCTTGTTGTTTAAATTCTTTCACTAAGTTTATGGCATCTACCAACAACATGTTGGGTTTTTCTAACTTTTTTATTACCTCACATACGAATTGATAATTGCTTCTTAGAAAAGCTAGATCTTGTCGCAAATCTTTGTTTTCCAAAATATTTATGGAATCTTTAATCGATTGAGAAGAATCTTCGCTAAACTCCGTAACTACTTCCTCAAATTCTTTGATATATTTTTCATAATAAAATGTGGCCTGTAACCATGTTCCCAACCTCGTTATAATCGGCTCTGGGGGCAATGGTATGTTTGGAAATTTTTCCTTAAAATGTTGCACTCTTAGTGGGGCTTTAACAAAAATCTTTTTACCATTTGCCACTAATTTATTAACAGTAGGAAACTGCAAATGTTTTCCTTCAGCCACTCTGTTTAAACCGTGGGCAATGCAAGTCGACTGAATTAAATTGGGGTACAATATTTTTAGATTATTCCCTGCTTTCAACATATAACGAGCTGCATCCGAGATCGTCAATAAAATTTTATTCGCCGGTACGGCATTTGGCAAAAATAGTGACGTAAGACTGTCATTTACAAATTTGGTAATCGTATTGCCATTTGTTTTATCTAACATTTTCAAACTTACTACATACCTTCGACCAGGGAAATTTTGATTTAAGATTCCAACAATTAAACTTGCCACGTATCTTCCACAACTATCGGTTGTTTCATCGACAGCGAACCGTAAATAATTATCTCCAATGCGATGTTTAATTTCGTTGTAAACTTGCTGAAACACTGGGCCTACATAATTTTTTCGGAGGGTACTTTCAACCGGAATATGTCGATTGCAGTGTTTTTCAAGGAATTCTTGAAGAGGGCCTTTCTCCAATTTTTTTAAAGGTATATTGGACTGGATCATCATTTTACATAAATCGAAATTAAACTGAAACTGCTCATCTTTTGTGGAAGTAGATGCAACAGATTCATGTATGGTCTGCTGTTTAATTTTAGAAACTTCAAACATTTTCTTCCTTTCTACATGAAGAGTCGTTCTGACATGTTGCGTCACGTTATATTTTTTATCACTTTGAATCTAAGACAACGTACGTATACAGGATTAACAAACAAAAATAGATAAAAAAAAATAGTGGGCTTACGGTTTTCACACCAGCTCTGCAGAATATTTTGTTGTTTTCTAATTTTAATTCTGGAAAATCCCTTATCCACTCATCCGGCGTCGATTTTACTTTCGGCATTCTTTTAAAATATTAGTAATATTACCAAAAAGAACTCAACATATAACAAGGGAGAACCACGTATAACACTGTACTACGACAGATGCGATAGACTGATGGTTGTGAAATAAACTGTTCATTTACTTAAAAGTTTCCATTAGAAAAATTTTAAGGTAGGTAGTTGGGTACAATAATCCTTTTTTCTAGAAAATCTTCAACGGTCTTGCCGCAAAATGCCGAAAAAGAACATCTGGTTAAAAGCTTTAATTCATTATCAACGGAAGTAAGGATTTAAAGTCATAAAATCTATGGAGTATTTTTCCAATCCTATAATAAAATTTTATTACCCAAACGA